TAATGGAAATTAAAACGGAAACTACGAAAAGTGTGGTCATTGTCATTTTCTTTTCACTTCCTCCATTAGCCACTGAGGCTCCCGGACCCTCTAAGATGTGTGGTTGCCATGTTAGGGCAGCTTTGGAGGCAAGAGGGAGGCGAATCGGAGGTCTAGGGAGTCCCGGGTTTAGGGTTTGGGGTTTAGGGTTTAGGGTCCAGGTATAGGGTTTGTGGTTTGGGGTTTAGGATTTAGGATTTAGGTTCCAGGGTATAGGGTTTAGGGGTTAGGGTTAAGGAGAGTATGTCACTCTGGAAAAGCGTTGATTATCAGAGATCACTTGTGTCAACGATTTAGGATGCTAGAGTACGCTACCCCAAGCACTATGACGCCTTAGAACCCTTAACCTTAAATACCCCCTAACCCCCTCAAATTGGACCCAGTATTCTTTGAACCCTAAACCCTAAACCCTTTATACCACCTATGACCCGTTTAAAGTGGGCCCAAGGTTCTTTAAATCCTGAACCCTAAACATTATATACCCCCATAATTTCTTTGAAAGGCGCCCCATATTCTCTGAACTAAGCCCTAAACCCTATATACCCCTAATAAAAAGGGCCTTCAACCCTACACTTGAAACCCTAAACCTTAGACCCTAAACCCCACATATTAAACCCTTCACCCTAAACCTTAGACCCTAAACTCCACATATTAAACCCTACACCCTAAATCTTAGACCCTACACCCTACACATTAAACCCTTCACCCTACACATTAAACCCTAAACCCTAAACCTTAGACCTTAAGCCCTAGACATTAAACCCTAAACCCTACACATTAGACCCTAAACCCTAGACATTAAACCCTAAACCCTACACATTAGACCCTAAACCCTACACGTTAAACTCCAAACCCTACACATTAAACCCTAAACCCTACACATTAAACCCTGAACCCGAAAGTGCCTGAGGCAAGGCTGAGAACCCAGGAGGGTGGAAGAGCTCCTTCGATGAGGCCGTAGTTGGAAAGCCAGTAGCTGAGTAGCTTAGGTCTAGGGCTTTAGGGCTTAGGGCTTGCGGTTTGTAGGGCTTGGGGCTTGAGCTTTAGGGATTGGGGTTTTGGGGGGGGTATATGGAATCTTAAAAATTTAGCCCTTTCTGGGCCAGGAAACTCAGCAACTAGGGTAGTAGAAGCGCTTTACAGGTGGGTAGTTCCTAGGTAGGTAGTTTCCCGTAGGTTTTCGTGCCAATCCGTTCAGTTGTGCGGATCTGACACGGAGCACTGCACCCAAAACTCTAAACTCAAAGCTGAACCCCCAACAACTTAAATCCTGAAATTTCTCCAAACCCAAACCCTAAAGCCTAAGCCCTAAGCCCTGTAGCTGATATTACCTCAAGCCAAGCTCCGTGCATTCCCAACAATCCCAAGCCCCCCCAAAGAGGGGTTTAGGGTTTGGGAGGAAGGGTTTTCGTTGCTGTACTCGGTGAGTGGTTACAGGGTTCCTGAGGAATATTGGCAGGTGTGTGCATTCTTGGTGTCCAATTTGAGGAACCAACAATAAAGATCCTAAATCCTAAGCTCCTAACCTTAATCCCAAGAACCCACCCTAGACCCTGAAACCTAATCCTCAAACCCTAAAGCCTACTCCCAAAACCCCAAAGCCTAATCCCAAGAACCCGCAATCTATTTCTTGCTTCGTGTTCAGGCTGCGTTGCACGTCCGAGACTTCTTCCAGGACCTGAGGCATGCCAGTCGGGTCCAATGCCAGGGATTCTCGAGCGTTCTTGGGTTTCGAGTTTAGGGTTTAGGGGCGGGGCACATGCTTGACTAAGGACCACATACTGGGGGTTAGTAGGGAATCAAAGCATATGCTATACAGGGACTACATGGGGGATTATTGGGATTGTATAGGGGTTATGTTGGGATTATATGGGGGACTATATAAGGATTAGATTAGGATCATATAGGGGTTATATGGGGGATTCTATAGGGATTCGATTAGGATTATATAGGGTTATATGGGGATTATATAGGAGATTAGCAAGGGATTATATAGCTACTAACCTCAAGTTAGACCATGTTGCCAGGAAAAGCCGAGATCGCGAGAAAGGCCGGCAAGCAACTGGTCCCCTTTGGCTTCATTTGTCTGCACAGGCCATCAGGGTTTAGGGCTGAGGGTTTAGGGCTTCGGGTTTAGAGTTTAGGGTTTAGGGCTTGGGATTTAGAGTTTAGGGCTATTGCCCCAGGCTTCCGCACTTTTCGAGCCCCTGAGGTGTGGGCGCCGTTGGGCTCCAAATCTGGGATGAATTCTTACTTCGGGCCCTAAAGCCTATGCATTGGGTACTGCCCCCACTCATTAACAGTTGAATAATGAAGAAGGAATTACATATAGCCCTTAGTAATACCTCATCGTAGATTGCTAATGAATGGGTGGTGGGCAGGACCCAGCCTACATACACATGGGTGGTTGTCAAAATTATGGTCTATTTTTGGATCCCTATTATAATACGGCACCTAATATTTAGGGTACGCAAAAAGGGACCATAATTTTGACAACCACCGGCATGTCACCTAGTCTGGGCCAGCTGGATTCCTGGGGTAGGTTTGTGGGCTCATTTTGCATGGCCCCTTCCAGATTCATGGTTTGGGGTTGTATGAGCCATGGACTACTATAGGGATATTAGGAATTTAGAATACAGCTCCTATGGGTATTCACAGGGATTATGCCAGGATTCAACGGGGCTATATCCAAAGCTACAACAGCAAATCTGATCCTCCAATGTCTCAGGCTGCGTCAAGCTACCTGACAGACCGTGATATGCTTTAGGCACTACAAAACCCTAAACCCTAAACCCTAAACCCTAAACCCAAACCCTAAACCCTAAACCCTAAACTCCCTAGTTCTTAGTATCTAAGGAAGTTTCAGGTGGTGGGTAGTTTCCCCCATTTAAGCCTTGCATAGCCCTTACATCCTAGTGTCCCTATGTAAGCCTTATGTAAGGGTACCCACCTGGTAGCTACTCACCTGAAAACTCCCTTTGTAGTAGAACCCGGTAGATTTGGGAGCTTGTAAGGGCTGGTTGAGGGCTTTGGGTTTAGGGTGTGAAGGGAGCCGTATTATACGCCTAAAAGCCAGGCCAATCCCCGCTACAGTAATGGCCCCTATATATGGAATCAAAAGGGCTTTCATATACCTACAACAGTCCCTTGTGGTACCCATTACTGGGTGGGGGATTGACCCTTTACAAGCCCAAATCCTGCATAGTTCTGTAGAGCAAGGCTATCGGATTTGTGACTCCTGGAAATTGCCCAATAACAGAAATGGGTACCAAGTCTTAAAACCCAATAGATCAGTTCCGATCATCACCCTTTTGAATTCATTTTCCGTTTTGTTTTCCACTTGATTGTCAATTACTCCTCAAAACCTTGTATTAGTATTTAAACCTGATATAATCCCTATGTTCCCTTTAACCTTCTCCCAGGGGTCTCGGTAGCTAGCGTCAGAAGCTGCTTATACCGTATAACCCCTATAACCTTTATACGCCCTGTATACTCGAATCCCTATAGAATCCTCTATCGCCATTCCTTATTGGGGTCATCCCCCCTTAACCCTAAACCTTAAGCCCTAAGCCCTGAACCCAAACCCCAAGCCCTAAGCCCCCAACCCTAAGCCCTAAGCCCTGAAGTCTAAACCTTCAAGCCGTGAAGGCAAAGAATCTGGCAGACCAACTCAACCTGCAACAGCTCCTCGAGGCAAGGCTTCCGAGTGCAGCCTCTGGGATGAGGGCTTAGGGTTTTCGGGGTTTGTGGTTTAGGGTTCAGGGTTTAGGGTGCAGGGTTTAGGGTTCAGTGTTTGGGGTTTAAGGTTTGGGGTTGAGAGTTTGGGTTCCCCTGCCCTACCACACCCCTCTGTACTGCTACCCTATGCTACCCTGCTACCCCCAATGGGCTCCCCTTTAGTTAGCCTCAAACATGCTTAAGTAAGGGCAGCCCAAATGGGGTAGTATAGAGCCTTGGGAACAAAACACAGTATGATCTGCAGAACCGTATGTACATACGCATGTAAACAGGGTTTCAGGTTTACGTGGGGCCAAGCAAGGGCTTGTGGCTAAGTGCTTAGGGCGGAGGGCCAAGTTATCACGAGTACTGATAAAGTAGATTCGGGTATGTGGACCATGTGAAGGTGTGTTCTGCCCATCCGATGCCCGCCTCATCACCCACAGAAAGGGTGCAAGGTGGCGCAACGATGCACCGGGGCAACCGGCTCTTAAGAGCTTCAGCTTCACTTCAGCGGGTACCCTAATGCTCCCCCTATACTACCCCCCCTCAAGTTTCCCCCGTCAGTTAAAGTTGTTCCAGGATAATTCGGCCTAATGAAGTTTCCTTCGTAGCTGGGGTTAGCGCGACATCATCTGCGGTAAAACCAGTTTTGGGTGCCTCGGTTTAGGGTTTAGGGCTTAAATAGGACTTAGGGTTTAGGGAAGCGCCAGAATGCACATACTCGCATGATCCGTAGACGAGCCTCTGTTTGAGCCTTACATGGGGGTACCCACCTGATAACTACCGGTTAATAATAACATCCCATATTACCTAAACCCTGAACCCTAAACCCGATAGTAGTTTCCATTTTCTTTTCCATTATCCGAATATAGGCCCGATATAACCCTCTTGGTGCTGTCCTTGTGGGTGGGTGGAAAGGACACTTTTCCAGTCCGACAGTGCAGATTTCCAGGATACCTTATACCCATTGGGGTAATATTTGAACAATGGAAAAGCAAATGGAAACTACTATAGTATAATAGGGTATATTTTGGGGTGATCTTGGGAGAATGGAAAATAAAGTGGCAGCTACAGGGATGATAGGGATTATATGCATATATATATATAGAGGCCAAACCTAACTTGGATGCCTTATCTGTACTCTTCGCTCTGGGACTTAATCCCTAAACCCCCCCCAAAATGATGTTTGTGCAAAGGTGCTCAAGCTATTCTGCTCCGTCCGCTACGAGGCCACACGGGCGTTCTCTGAGTTCAAAGTTTTTCGTGGGATGAGACTCTGATGCAAGTGTCCCTGCCAATCTAAAAATACAGGATCCTGACAATCCCTGCATAACCCTCTGTCATGGTACAAATATTCTTCATTTGTGGGGTATTTACCTGGGGCCACATGAAGACCATGCCACATGTGTTGTTGGTGGAGCAGGAGACATAAGAAGAACATGGCATGTTAGATGGAACATGAAATTGTAGGGGTTTATAGATGTTATGCAGTATAGAAGCCTCAATAATGACCAATAGACTACGTATGCCTTGTATACTTCTAGTTATATCCTCAAACCCAGAACTCTAGAACTATCATATGTTAATATAGTGATCGGCTGCGGTTACCTGTTTGTCTCCGGTTCAATCTAGCTGTTCGGCCGTTTGAGGCCGTTCGTAGGACTTTCGTTAAAATTCTGGCTGCTCAGACGGTTTTTTTTGGGTCCTTTTTTGGGGGTACCTATAGTGGGAACTATATCATATTGAGGTATATAAGGCGTCTGCCATTCATGGAGACTGCCAGACATGTGATGAGCGTTGCATCCTTCGTAAGATGATGCAGATCTTGGTACAGGCTGAGCTGAGGTCAATTATCTGAAGCCCCAAACTCGGACCAACAAATTGTCAGGCATGCATGGAACATACGAACAACCAGCTGCGCACTTCGTAAAATCTTGGAATAATGAGAGGATTTCGGCAGCCGCAATTCCTAAATTAAGACCCACCCTACTATGGTCATGTGTTAGTTCTGTGGTTCCATTCGTTAGGGGCCTTCAACCCGAAACCGGATAACATCCTGGAAGGAGATCCTAGAATATGGAGATTACACATGGGGATTGCATGGGGATAATGGAGAGTCAAATGGAACACCAAATTGAAATGGACTGGAAACTACAATATAAGGCCCCTATTCCTCCGAAACTCAAGAACCGCAACAAGTCACCTAAAACCTTAAACCCGACACTAGACCTGCCCAGCTCACACTCCTTACCTTTCCTGACCTGACACCACTCACAGGACTACGAGCTGTACATGCGCTTGCTTGGCGAGGTCCCAACCAGGGATCATCTCTTGGCTTAGGGATAATGGAAAAGAAAATGGAAACTATAGGGATTATATAGGGGTTCTATAGGGATTATAGGGTCTATATTAGGGTTATATTGGGATTATATATTGGGATAATGGAAAAGAAAATGGAAACT